CTTGCCACCATAGTAGGTGGGCCAAAACACCCTCATAGCAGATCCTTCTGGACAGAAGGCTTTCAGTCATGCTGGCTGGTATGTACTGATTCAGCCATGTGGAAGTTAAACTGTAGTCTACTTTCGTACCTTTTGGTAAGAAGCCAAAGCCCTGAGCTCTACCACAGCGTCAGGCTCCCTGGCCCTCTCCCAGAACTGTGATCCAGAAACTAAAAGTTGAACGTTCAGCAAGCAGAGATGCTCCATGACTTTACTTCAGTCATGGCTGTCATCCATTCTTCCTGGTCAGTTCCATGCCATTCAGTGGTTACATCTCTTAAACATCACCTGTAGTCACGGATGGACTTTGAAGTCTTTGCCTCGGAGCAGGGCAGTGTCCTGGTTGCCTGAGAACAGTGCCCACATGGTACCTTTCCTCCGGAGCAGTGTGATGATACGCAGAGCATCTCGCTGACTCTCTGGTACAACTTACACATGGAGCAATGGAACTGGTCTTTTGACCCAAACTTACTTTTCCCCACTACCACTTATAATTCAGCCTTTTGGATTTTGAAGGGTTTGGGGGAAGAAAAGTGGGGATATTGGTGTTCCCTCCTGCTAGACAAAGACATTGTGGGAAAAGATAGTATCTAGAAGATAGTATCATGAAGACAGTGTCAAGAAGAGATAGTATCATGAGATAGTATCTAGGAGGGGGCCAGAAGGAAGGAGATATAGGACATCTTGGTAGGAAGGTCCCAAAGAGTTATGCATGTCCCTTTCATGGATGACCTGATTTCCACCATCAGCGCCAGGCTTTAGGATGGTGGTGGGGTTTTGGTAGCAATATCAACATGTCTTCATTTCCTGTGTAAGAAGCAGGTGTGCTAGGAGCTGCATCCTTCCCAGTATTTCCCAAACTTTGTCTAATTATAAAAATTATTTGGGCATTTGGCAAAAAATTGCTAATTCCCATCCTCCTCTATAACCTAATATATAGTAGGTTCAAGGTGGGACCCAGGTGTCTGTTTTTAACAAAAGCTCCTTGTGATTCTTATGACAAAGTGATTTTGAGAAACACTGTTTCCACTTCAGTTCTTGGCTCCTCCTTTCCCAGGTTTGGGCTGCCAACAGCTCCTCGTCCCCTACCCAGTCCTAGGTAATGCCCCCAATTAACAGCAAAGGGGTGTTGCCTCAAGGGTAGTAAGATACTTAGGTGTCCCAACAGCAAGAAGAAGATGGAGAGAGTGACTAGGTATTGGGGAGGGCCAGAGGAATGAGAAAACTATGTACAGGAGACAATTACATAGCAATGACTTTAGGAGCTATGTTATTTATTCTTTGGTCATTTGTGAAAAGAACAACATCGGATAAGGTAAGGAGCACTGGCGCCGTGACCCAGAAGGAGACGGAGATCTGTGTGAGCTTACAGGACCTTCCCTGACCTCTTTTGATCCATATAAATACACAGATATGCATGTGTATGCACACACATACACATATACACATTCATGGAAGTCTCCCTTCCAGGAATTCAGTAAGAGGATCTGTGTGAGCTTACAGGACCTTCCCTGACCTCTTTTGATCCATATAAATACACAGATATGCATGCGTATGCACACACATACACATATACACATTCATGGAAGTCTCCCTTCCAGGAATTCAGTAAGAGCAGATGTTCTTGTGGAGGCCCATGAAATTACATTGGTTACAAAAGTCACAGAAGCACTTTATTATGCACCTTCTAGGATGTCCGTTACATAAACTCCACGGAGTTTTTGTGAGAATCGGGTTTAGTGTGTAAATTGTGTGTGTGCATATACACATCTACCCAAGTACATGCAGACTTACGAGGTGTGAGCATAAGTGGTCAGCTTCTCGGAACATGCCTGCCGGATCCTGGATGTGCAAGAGAGCAGTCTTACCTTCAAAGCATTGCACACAGCACCTTTGGGACACCTTTGCAGCTGTCTTCAGGGCTTCTTTTCAGGGATGGCAAATATACATTTGGTGAGGAATTTAATCAGCAGAAATGGTTGAAGGAAGCCATCCCAAACTATGTCTTAAGCAACCAACCAAGCTTGAACATTCCAGTTATGGACGAAATTTTGGTGTGACTCTAAAGAAGTAACGAAGTTAATTTGCATGCGTGGCTTATAAATGAGCTCTGAAAGCATTGTCTTAAAATGGCTTTCTGGTTATACCCTATGGATGTCCCACATTCTCACTTTATGAGACTAATGAAGAAGCAAGTAAGGGCGTAGATAATCCAAGAGTGGACAATATCCTTTTCGGTTCAGAGCTGAATGTTTTTGTCACTTTAGATTTATTGTTGTTATTGTTATTATTATAACAGTAATACCGTGGTTTATGTTAAAGAATTTAAAACTGTTTGATGTGCGAAGGAGATGGTGGAAAGGAGGCTCAGAAGATACTGAATAGTGGGAAAAATTGTTTCTAATGTTAATCTAATTCACTGGATAATCTACAGTGGTTCTTTCAGACTGACCAAGAGTGCGGGTGGGTTGCGTGTGTGGGGCGGGTGAGTGGGATGTGGTGGGCGTGTAAGACAGAGAGCAAAAGAGCTGCAAAGGTCACCCCCAGCAGCAGCACAGGTGAGTGAACGGCTGTGACATGCCCAATGAGTATTTACACCTGGAACTGACTACAGAATGTTGTATCTCTAAAGATTCCAAAGGTTTTCCTAAAAATATAACCAACAAGAGGGGGAAAAAGAGATACCCGGATTCCAAGGATCTCACGATGGTGCTGAAAACCTACGACATGAGCTTCCTGGACTTTCTCAGAAGGTGTTTGGCGTGAGTGTGATGGGGTATCTTTGCCTCAGGGTTTCTTCTTAAATACTGTACTTTCACATGTTTGCCGGTGAAAGTCTAAAGCTAGGAGATAGTTGTAAAAATAACAATAATAAGCGATAAAATACTAAAAAACGATAGAGCTTTAAAGTCCACAAATGGCCTTCCTGTTTGTCTCAGCAGGTATCTCTCCCCCTACTGTGCGATTGTTGAGGCAGAGGATTTGCTCTGTTGTGCAGATAGGGAAGCTGGGGTTCAGGGAGATTAGGTGACTTGCCCTGGATTACACAGTGTGTGGACAGAGCTTGTTTTCTTCTTGGTCTCAGGATGCCTGCCAGGAGGTTGCAGGCAAGTCCTACATATTTTCTGCTTCTGTAAATGGCAGCCAGCCTCTCCAGTGTGCCTGTGGTCACTGTTTGCATAAAGTGTAAACTTCTTTCAGGGTCCCTCCCCATTTTCCTAGGATTTGGTGCCCAGATCCTCTTGTATTAGGGAATTAGGGGAAGGGCAAACTGCAAACTATTTATTATGTACAGATTCTTCCAACCTATATGCACGTTTTGAATCTTAGGAATTAGGTTCTGTACTTAAGTCATAGCAAAAAAGGAACTGGCACATAAAGCACCCAGCACAGTGCCCAGTTTAGAAGGTGCTTAGAAAGTACCAGCTATTGTTATTATTTTACAGCTGTTAAGAAGTTTTGCCAGTCTCTTTTGCAAGTGGCAAGTGGATTAGCTGCACGACATTTGGCAAATCATCACTTCTCTCTGGGCCTCAGTTCCCTTTTCTATAAAATGGGGTATAAGGTCCCGAAGGTCCCTTCCAGCTCTATCAGTCCTGTGCTTGTTTAGTATTTTTAGAAGACTGTATACTTATATTCTCTCATTCTTCCAGTGGGATGGCGCCATCTAAGCAAAATACTCTTCTGGCCTTTGTGCACTCTGGAGTTTTAGGTACTTGTTCAGAGAGTAAGCCATCAGGTACTGCTGAAAGTATTCCATCTTGGGTAGTCATGCTATTTACTCACCTGAATAATTGAGGTAGGGAAGGATCCTGTACCCCATCTCTACCCCTACCCCACTCTAGCCTCCTGCCGAGGCTATGGAATGAATGTGCCCTAACAAATGAAAGAAACTGACCCTGAGACAGAGGTGAGTTATCCAGAAACCCCAACCACCCAGAACACAGCTCAGCACCAAGGAAGACATTATTTTTTTTTT